TATAAATAGAGCTTTATATTCTTTTATTTCCTAATATAAACTATATAAATAATATAATATATCTAGAAATATTATAAGGTTTTATTTAGCTTTTAACTTATTTATAAATAAATTTATATATTTATAAAGAGTCTATTAAGAATCTATATCTAATTTGTATATTTAGCTAAATTCCTTTATTAAGTTATATAATTTCAGCTAGAGCCTTTATTATATAATTTTTTTTTTTAATTTCAAATCTATTTAAAACAAGTTTAGAATAAAATTATTAATTAGCTCCGGAGTTTATATAGAACTATTAAGTAATAATTTTAGTAAAGCGGCCCTAAATTCGTAAATATCTATAAGCTAATAATCTAATTATTAATTTTAAGCTCTATTTTATAATCTTATAAGTTCTATATATATACTAGTAATAAAACTATTAGAAAAAATATAATATAGAAAAAATATAATAAAATAATTTTTTAGAATATTATATAACTAGAAATTATATTAACTTTTACTAATTTAGATTATTTTATTAATAGCTTTTTTCAAATTAAATATTTTATTAATATTTCTAAAGAATTTATAAATAAGTTTATAGAAATAGAATTTTTTATTTATATTATAAAGCTTTTAGAAACTAATAATTATATTATTATTAAAGAGTTATATAAATAGATTAATAAGTCTAATATTTTATTTTCAAATATTAATATTATTATGAAAAACTATTAGAAAAATATCTAAAGAGCTCTTTTATATAAGAATATTTATAGTTATAATAAAACTATTTTCGAAAATATTAAGCTTTATAATATAAACCTCGAAAAAAATATTAAATATTATATAGCTATAGTAAATTAGTTTATAATAGCTCTAGCTATTTCTATTTTATTTATTTCTATTATTTCTATAGTTCTAGCTATTCTAAATTTCTTTTAAAAGAATTCCGAACTATTTTCTATTTATTTCTATTTATTTCTATTTAGAATATCTTATATCTTATATTTTCTTTAAAAGTACTAGAATTACTAAATTTCCAGATCTAACTTTTTTTACTAGAAATTATATTATCTTTAATAACTAGCTAGTTCAGATTAAAAATAAGCTATAAGAAAATATTAATTTATATTTCTTTAAGAATTTTAAGATTATTTATATTTCTAATAAACTAACTAGTAATATTTTTATTTTAATTAATTCTTATATAAATAAAAATAGTTCGAATTAATATTATTAGCTTTTAGAATTATATTCTTATTTAAAAAAGCTATATTCTAATTTTAATAAAATATAGAATATTTATTATAGTTTTAATAAGCTTTAAATATATTCTAATTAAATATATTCTAGTTAAATATATTCTAGTTAAATATTTTAAAAGTTCTATATTTTTTTCTTATAATTATTTATAGGAAATAATATTAGTTTTTAAAATATTAAATATAAATTAAATAAAAAGCTTTTATTAAAGCTTTAGAAATTAGTATATATATATTATAATAATTCTTCTATTAATATTATTTGCTTTATTTAATACTATACTATTAATAATTAATAAATTAAGGCTATATATAAGGAAACTAAAAAATAAAAAAAATAGAAGTTATTTTAGCTAAGTTTATTTCTAGTATTATATTCTTTTATATTTCTAAAAAGAAATTCAAAAAGCCTATATTAATTACTTTTATTAAATATATATATTTTTTTATAAATATAAATAATATTTTATAAAAACTAAAGATTTTTTAATTATTAAATATTATAACTATAACGAGTTTAGCTATTATATTATATACTATTTAATTAGATATAATAAAGAAATTAAAATAGCTCTTTTTAGAATTAAGTTAAATTTAGTTTCTATTTTATTAAAATATCTAGTTTTTATTCTAATTCTAGTATAAAACCGGAAAACGAATATTTCTAAAGAAAGTCTTTATTTCAGAAGCTTATAATATAGATTTAATAGAGATTAATTTAATTTATCTAATAAAAAAATACTTTTATAATATTTTATAATATTAATATAAATAAATTAGAAATTAAGTTTTTTTCCTTTATTAATATTAAAGCTAATAGTTATATTTTTATTAATATAAAACTTATTTAGTTTATAAAATAATTCTTAGAAATAAAATTATGTTTTCTTTTCTTATTTTGTACTATATATAGTTTTAATAAAAAGCTAGCTAAGTTTATTAATAAATAAAATATTAATATATTTATAATTATTCTAAATCTTAGAAATTATAATATTATTCTTAATAGAAAATGAATTATATATATTAATATTCTAGTTAATTATTAAAGATATAGGCTTATATAGCTATAAAAAACAAGTCCAAATCTATATAATTTAATTATATTATTAGTATTTTTTAGTAATAGCTAGAAAAGTAATCTAATAAAAAGTATTAAAAAATACTAATTAATAAGATTTTATTATAAGCTATTTTTAGAAACTTTCTATTTCTTAAATAATTTTCCTTTTTTTAAACTAATTAGAGGAAATTATATAAAACTATAGAAAAGAAGCTTTTATAGCCTAATTAAAATGTAATATTTAAATAAAAGCTAAAGAAATAGAAAGAGGTCTTTAATAAAAAGCAAGTATTAGATCTAGCTATTATTACTTTTATAATATTTAACTATATAGCTAAAAGAGAAAATAATATTATTAGTTAAATCTCTATTTATAAAATTAATAAAGAGTTTAAAGCTCGGAAAAGAAAAGTTATTTCTGGTTCGGAAAATTAATAACTAGAAGAAATAGAGCTTTAGTAGCTCTAAAGAATATTATTTCCGGAATTCAAAAAAATATACTTCTGTTTTTTCTAAAAAGAAATCTAATATTCTTTTTTTTATAGATTATATAATTATAAGATTTAGATTAAAGTTCTAAAAAAACTAAAAGTATTAGATACTAACTTTTCTAATAGTAATTTATTTAAAAGCTTCTAGAAATCAAGTATTTTTTAAAAGGTAATTTAGCTAAAGGCTTTATTAAAACTACTTAAGCTCTTTTTACTTTACTAGTTCTTTTTATAAAAAAAAGTAAATAAAGGTTTATACTTTTATACTCTAGTTTTAAAAGGTTAGAGAAATCTGGAAGGAGATAAGTTAGATAAACCCGAAAATGTCTTTATACTCGGAAATTGCTCCTATAACTGGCTTTTCTAATATATTTCTTGTATCGTTTATTCTAGGGAAGCTGGCATAACTGCAGCTGGAATTGCTCTCGGACAACCCACTACTATTGTTCCTTCTTCGGTAATTAGCCTTTCTGGAACACTATAGTTGCTCGCGCCGGTACTGGCCTATTACTAGTACCCTATAAGATCTTACGGCCAATAAGCTTGCCAAAGCCATCTTAGTAATACGTAAACCCGAAACTCTCGAGCAAGGGAAGGAGCTTGGAAAGCATATCCGCAAGGAAAAGGGCTGTGAAGCTGGCACAGCTAGCTTTCACGAAAAGCTGAATGTTCCCAAGATACAATATATAATACTACCCACCCGTATAGTAGTATGGCAAGTCAGCACCAAAGGATTCCAGGAGGACATCCGACTCAGTGCCTTCGCGGCAGCGATATTAGGCAACAAAGGCATTTTGGACATTAACCACCTGAAACTCTACCGGCCGTACAAGTATACGACAGCAGAGTATTTTATGGCCGCCAACTTGACCGGAGCAAACCCATTCTCGGAACACTTGGTTCCCTTGCCTCGGGCATAATCCACTGGCCAGTTGACATTATCAAATCAAAAGGAGGCATTATCTACGAGCCCTATAAAGGCGCCCGAAGAGACGGCTGGAAAGGCTTCGGCAAGGGGCTCAGGAAAGGCGTTGGGGGTTTCCGTCCCTTTACGAGGCCTGGTCATACGCGGCAAATCGTACAGGGTCCGCGCTCTCTATTATTACATCAAGAGACGATTAGGCTCGGATACTCTGATCTTTAGTGACGGCGCATTTCGCGCAGGGGCTTGAGGAGATGAAGAGTGCGACGGAGGAGGAGAGGAATGAAGTGGTGAGGAGATGGCAGCAGATTGGCCCTGTGTTGAAGAGGGAGCAGACGGGGAGTAGTGCGAGCTCGAGGTATAGTCTAACGCCCTCTTCGACGACGACGAGTTCCACAAGTTCGGCGAGCGCGGCGACGGAGAAGAGGAAGGGTCGGTCGGCGCCAGGTACTCCTTCGGGTTGATTTTAAGCAGATCATACAGAAATTCGAGGAGACGTGCCAGCAAAGCCGCAGAGCAAGTTGCCAGCCCCAATGCTTGGTCAGAGACCAGCATTAAGGCAGACGACGTCGGATCAGAAACCATCGAGCCCATGGACGGTATCACGAGGATCGAGAGAGTGTGCATGATCTACGATTTGCGAACACTGAAGCGCTTTCGTCACTCTCCTCATCAGATCAGGTCAGGATCCGCGAGCGCCGCGGTTTCCCCCATCCAATGAACTATCCCCAAATCTACCCATCATCAACTCCCACCGACTAGGCATGCCCCACAGATCAATTGCAATTCGCGAACCATCTTGGATATGAATAATGAATAGAACTGCTACGTATACCCAGATTTTGTTCTATAGATCATGTAGACCAGGTAGTAATGCAAATACCAATCTTGTTTTGGACGTTGTTCCCATTTCCACCATGAGACTATTCTCTTTCACCTCATCGGAAAGACAAGATGAAAGGTTATGCTTCAAACCCACACATTACCAAAGATGTAAAAGCAGAAACTCACAGATACCAAACATTTACATCGTCTAGTGGTACCTCTTAACAGGCGGCCCTATAACCCGACAACTTATCTAAGTCTCATAGGCCCGACGAAAGAGAGCATGAGATGAGATTAGGTTTGATGAGATGAACATCTATTTAGTGTCCGTCTTTCTTAGACACTACAACTCGACACTTTTTGGCGTGCTAGATGATATATTCTTGTATGTCTCACTATGAGCTCCGGTATGACACCTTCGGCGCTCTCTACTTTCAAGTAGATGGAACCGACATTTTATCACGAAGGGAGCCCATAAGACCATACCAATACTCAAACAATTCTCAATCCTACACACATCGCTAGCTCCCTAGCCCTATCAACAATCCTCCATATATACAGTCCCGTTTACTATGCAACATGAGCCTTAGTTCATGTATTAACTAGATGTTTGAACCCCAGATATTCGGTATATGAAGGAGCTTCTCCAGATTCAATTCAAAAGCTCTAATGCTCGTCTTCTCATGACTTTTGAGAAGTCAAAATCTTTACGGGCTTTCGCAGAGCTAGAACAGAGCTAGCAAAAAGCCCAAAACCAACGGTGACAGGCGTCAGCACCATAAAAAATTCCTCCAACGTCACACCAACCAAAATCCCCAGCCCCATCCCAATGCACACAATTATGCAGAACATCCCTATATTCGGGGTCCTGCCTAGACTGGTCGCGAAGCCCCAAGCAGCTAATGTCAAGGAGAAAATCAAGACTGATAGCATGAATATCGCGAAGACCAATCCTGCGGATGCGGAGTTCGTGTCGTGGATGGATATGTAGGTTTGCAGAAACGAAAGGATCTGTGTATATATACTGTTAAGATTGGGCTAGACTGGGAGAAGGTCTACGTACACTCGATATGATGGGACTGGGCTTGTAGAATGCCAATATTTCGTTCAACCAAAGGAAAGAACCGGCCACTAAGAAACTGCTGTAGAAGTTGCCTGCGGCGGGACTTTTAATCGGATTTATCCCGTAATTGATGCATCGTATGGAGGCAGAATCGGTTTGAGACAAATCGCCTGTATGGCGCAACAGGGTTAGATTGTGAGTCCTATATTCTTCTGCCAGCTTGTTTCTCTTACCTTCGTTGTCAAACTGCGCGCTGTTGATCCCTCTAGCGGGTGGTCCCTTGTCCATGTTGCTTCCCCGGTTCTAATTTGCTTTGATTCCTCTACCATTTATCCCCAGGCCTCAAGGCGTGTTGAGGATACAGAAGCTGGCAGCAACCTTGGTGTTTCGTGCTCAGTGCCAAAATACCTATCGTGATAGCGTGCGCTGCTGTGTAGCCTGGTATGATACAATTTCTTCTGCCAAAGTAATAGGAAATAGAGTATCTGCAGAATACAAGTTGATGTAAGTGAAGCCTGAGAAGTGGCGCTTGAATCCGCAAAGGAGATGGGTTTTAAAGAAGAGTGGTCGTCGCGATTTTGAAGATGCGGGCACAACCCCGCATTCTGTGTCACCATGACCAATCTGAATTCTTCGTGCTAATCAGCCTCGCCTGTGACTACAGATTTCTTCTCCTATTCTGAGTGTTACATTTCGTTTTCTTGCGTTTTCGCAAGATACCTGTGGATTTGGTTTCTGTGAAACCCTCCTAAACTTGGTCCTTGAGCTGGACCAGGTCTGCAAGACTGCCCTCCAGCTTCATGCCTGAAGACGAGGAGACAGGATCCTCTATCCGTTCACAGACCGACTCTCCAGACGAGACGACGAGCCTCCTATTAGGCCAGGCCTCATTCCTTAGAATTGATCAATTACCAGAGCGACATAAGATTTGTGTCATATCCTCCTCGGGGCTCACCCTCTCTTCTGCTTTGGTAGAGACTTGCTTGGCGTTGATTGAAAGGCAAGATTCTGCGTGGCATACAACTTATCTGGCGTACGTACAAACAATCCACATTTTATAGATTGTGCTGTCTAGCTGCTGACTATACTTAAAGTTCTTGCGCTGTTTGGTTTAGTGTTGGTACTATTTCAGTTGTACTGCTCTGTGTAATTCAGCCTCTACTCATTCGGTACCACTCTTCCCCCCATACGACATTGAGATCCATGCTGAATAAAGCTTTGCAGTCGCTTGCCAATCACGGTCACATTCTGCGTACTCTGTGCCACAGCGCTCTACAACTTCCTCGATCTCAACGATATCGTCATCTTTGCCCCTCTCATATCTACCATCCTCGCTGCGATAACGCTATTTACCCCCTCCGAAAACCTCATCACACTCAGCAGATTTTGGTTCGGCGAAGACGTTGGTGAACGTGTTAAGCAATACCTACAGCATATATAGGCGGGTTCAAATCTAGGCTGCAATGAAATCCTACGTGGAACTAGCTCGCGAAGGCCCTTCCCGTGGGACGTCTGGGTCCCCTGCAAGCAAGGATCCCTGGGGTAGGCCCTTCTCCTTTGCTACTATAGAGAGTATTGGTAGAGGTGCATCTGGTATGGTCTTTGATATCGACGCTTCAAGGGTGATAAAGGTGTTCGCGGGTGATGAGGGTGATGAAAAGGATGAGCTAAAATTGGCTCGGGAGAAGATCTTCGACGAGCTCCAAAGGCATGGGTCTCAAAAATTTACTATTAGGTACGTGGAAGGATGCCGTTCTGGCCTAGTTCTAGAAAGGCTAGTCGGCACCCTACGAGAGCGATTGCAGAGTTTTTCCCAGAAGTCGTGGGAACAGAGGTCTCTGGGCAGCTGTAAGGGGCTTCCTTCCCTCCACGAGCACAAAGGCATTTACGGAGACATAGGCCACCAAAACATCTTGGTTGGCGACGGTGATCATGTCAAACTTTGCGATTTCGCTGGGTCAAGGATCGGAGATGATGCCTGGGCACCATATGATATCTATAGTCAGGACTCGTCGTATTTCCGCAATCAGCCCACAGTCGCGACCGAGATATTCGCAGTTGGCTCTCTTCTTTACAAAATTTGGAATTTTCATCGGCCGTATAGATCAAAGAAAGATGCGGTAGTCCAGAAAGGGTTCCACGACAGGGCATTCCCTCTTGTGAGTATCAGGGGGTTGAGAAATAAGATCATCAGCAAGTATTACGATGGAGGCTACCACAGTGTTTATTCTGGAGTATGGAGCAGGGAACAATAAGCGTGGAATATGTTTACATTTTTCCTATTTCAGTATGTATATAGCCGTTGATAATAGAAGCTTTCCCTAAGCAATGCTTGTATTCAAGTCGACGGATTACTTTAAAATTGAAACTTGCGTAGTAAATATCACAGTGAATAAAGTAAGAAATCAGAATTTTAACGTAGTAGTAGCTGCACATTTTTACTTATAATTGATTTATGTATCCCGACATAAGAATGAATAAATAAGAATCCTAGTCAAGGCCAAAATAGGGCTCTCGTGTAGAGATAAGACGAGAAAACTGTAACCAGGCTTTAAGAAGCTAAGCCATTGCAGAATATCATTTAGCGTCACTTTCATCCTCTATCTTCAGATGAAAGACATCGATGGAAAGCATGCCTCAACGAATAAACCGTCTGCACTTGCTCCCACCTCGGTAAACAATTATCTTTGTCTATAATATTCATTTCGCTACTCGACTTGTAGACAATCCTTGCCCGAATATCTATATACAAGAAATCCAGATTGTCCAAAATGACAATCCAAGGTAAAAGAAACCAAAGCAACCAAACGCCTCGCTCATGCCGCGTGACACTTCTATATTCCAACTCCATTTTAACCTTTAAGGTTATACCCAGAATTCAAACCCCATCCACTGTCCGGGTCGAGTTCCAACAAAAGAAATGCAAAAATTAAGAGATCCAAATAAGCTCCACAACCCCATCTTTATCATACATCTTCCACGCACTCCCAGCCATATAAAAAGTCCACCACCAGTCGTCCCGCTTCCTGATATACGTCTGCCGCACACTGCCATCGTTTTCTACTCTGCTCCCCTCAGCTCCCAGCTTGCTTTCCTTCCCGTCTGGATTATACTCTTCCTTCCAGGGCCTAATATGAAGTCTAGGTTCCAACCGTAATTATCTGGCGCCGCACCAGATGTCCGCTCCATTTAATAGACATTGAAATCGATGCATTTCGGGTAGTAAGCAACTAAGAAGCCGTTTGAGATAATATAATTATCGTTCGTTTGGAAACGTTATAGAAAATAGTCTGTACCGCAAGTATGAATGATTTAGTATTAAGGCTATATATTTAGCTATAATAATAGCTATAGTAATAGCTTTTTGCTTAATACTAGCCTAGCTAATCAAACTACCAAATAGAATAAAAACTATACTAGAAATTAATTTATAATCTTATAAATTGCTTTTATTATTAGTATCTAAATACCTAATAAATTCTTTATTAAATAAAGCATTATATGCAATGCTTATATTAAGTAATTCTTTAATATATTATATTATATAAAGCTTTAGGGCACAAATTAAAATAATTTAAATAGCTTATAATAAAGTAAAAATTAGGTTATAAAGCTAAAGAAGGTTATATAAGTAATCTAGTTTGACTTTAATATTTTATAATATTAATATTAATTTTATTAAATATTATAGGTTCGGCTATTAAAGAAGTAATAAATATATAACCTTTTATTTAATACTTTAAAAATATATTTATAAAATACCGATTTTAATATAAAAATATTATACTATTTTATAAATATATAATTTTTATATTTAGAAGTATTTTAATTTCTTTATATTAGTTATATCAAATTTCTAAATTAAGCTTTAATATTATTAATATAATTTATATTTTTTCTAATAATAATTAAAAGTAATAACTAATTAGTCTTATATTTTTAATAAATATAAAATATTAAATTACTAAATAATTACTAGAATTTAATAAAGAATTTTTTTTAATTATTTAATATTAAATCCTAAAAGCTTATTTTAAGCTATAAATACTTTTTTATAAATAGTAAATAAAATTAATTCTTTTAATAAAATTAAGAAATTATTTTATATAATATTTCTTTTCTAATTCTTTATATAAAAACGCTATTTAAATATTTATTTATTATATATAAAGCTTATATATAGCTATTAAAGCTATTATAATTCGAATAATAAAAGATTAAATTATAGAAATAAAGGTTTTTAAAGTAATTTATATTATATTCTTATATTATAAATTTAGATTTATAATATTTATTAAACTTAATTTTAAAAATCTAATAATATTTAATAGTTTTTTAGTATTTTTATATTACTAGATTTTATATATAAATTTATAAATAAAAATCTAGCTTTCTTTTAATTAAAGGTTTCTAAAAATAAGTATTTAGACTAGAGAAAGCTTTTTTATTAATAATAGAATTTTGAAAGCTTTTATATTCTAGTTAGTAATTAGTAAAATATAATAATTAATATATTTTCTAGTAATTCTAGTTAATTTTAAAAAATCTAAAAAGTAATTTATTCTTTAAAATAATTATTTTAATCGACTTTTAATTTATAAAATTCTATTTAGTAATATTTAGAAATATTATAAGTTTTTAATTTTTTAAAATAAAAATATAAGGAACTTATTTAGATTAGAAATATTTCTAATTTTATTATATAATATATTTTAAATAATATATTCTTTAATATTAAAATAATTTTCTTTATTAATTTTCTAGTATTAATAATAATATTATTTATATTATTTATATTAGAGTTATTTAAATTATTTATAGAATTATTATTAAAATCTATAATAGTTTTTATTAGTTTTTTTATATAACTAAAATACTAGATTTAGAAATAATAAATAATTATTTATGTAAGTTTTAAATTCAATATCTAAAATTATTATAGCTAATATAATATAATAGGCTATACTTTTTAAAAATTATATTATTTTAGTAGTTTTAAAATTTAGATTATATAGTAAAGGCTATAGCCTTTTATATATAACTTATAGAAATTATATAAGAAAGCTAGTTTTTCTATAGTTCTAAAGAATAATTCCTTATAAATATTTAATTAATTAAGCTTTTATATATTATATACTATTTATATTTTTAATTTATTATTTTACTATTAAGTTATATTTTATATTCTAATATACTTTATATAAATATTAGTTTACTAGTAATATATAGTACTATTATATAAGTATAGAAGTACTATTTATATAAGGTTAGTAAAGTTATTTAGAAGTAGGAATTATAGTATTATAGTATTAATATATAATTCCTAAATCTATTAAGCCTAAAGGAATCTAGTCTACTAGTCAAGTTACTAATAAAACGCGAGGTTATATAACTATATCCTGTATTTCATATCTTATTATCTATATCCCATTACCTATATCCTATATCCCGTAACTATATATGTAACTTGCAAAGAAATAGCTATACTAATACTAGAAACTCTCTAAAAAACGCGAAAAACAAAAAAATAGTATTTCTTTTTAATTATATATAAATTCCCTAATCCGGCCTAGTACTAGATCTCCCAAATACTATATATCTATATTACTTTTAAGGTTTTAGTTATATACTAAAGGTTATAGCCTTTTATATATAACTTTCCCTCTTATAATATCCTCTTATCTTATATATCTATTCCTTATTTTATTTGCATTTAACTTATTCTTTCACGTCTAATTATATTATATTTGTATTAATAAAGCACTTGAGGGTATTTAATAGCTTCGATTTCGTTATAGAGTTAGCAGAATTTAATTCTCTTTTAATCTACTTGACTTCCGTAATCTCTTATTATTTATATATCTGGTAAAGATATATTATATTAATTATTAGGCATTTCTCTCGAGTAGTATCTAATTTAATAAGACATTTATATAATAACTTTGAATTTGTATAAATAACTAGTAGTAGTTCTATTTCTAGTACTTTATTAATTATAGATTTAACTAAAGTGCCTATATTAAAACTATAAGCTATACTATAGAGTTCCGAAGCTAGAATACTTCTAGTAACTCTCTTATATTTAGTAAAGAACTAGTAAATAATATTAGTATATCTAGTTCTATTTACTAGAACTAGAATATATTTAATTTAAGAAAAGAGATCTCTATTATTTATAAATAAAGTATCTATAAAAACGATTAAATATAAGAACTTCTTTACTAGCTTTATAAATCTTAGTTCTCTAGTAATATTCTCAAATTATTATTAAATATATTTATTAAATACCTTTATATTAGTTTCCGAGAAATTAATAGCTTGAATAGTAATTAATAGGTTATATAAAGCTTCTAGTTAATAGACTAATATAATATATACTCCTCTAGTATATTAGGTAATATATTAGTTCTTAATAAAAAGATTTTAATAAATAGTACCTCTATTACTTATAATAGTAATATTTTTTATAGAAATAGTTCAGAGGTTTTTATACTAGTATTTTTATATAAGAATAATTCTAGTAGTATCTATATAAATAATATCTTTATTAAACTTGAGATTATAGTTAAAAGTAAGGGATTTATATTTCTTAGCCAAGAACTTAGCTTTATAAAGCTTTAATTACTTTGCCTTTATAAAATTATTAATTCTAATAAATAAGGTATTATTAGTTTAAAGGCTAATAATTCCAAAGAGTTACTTACTATAGAAGAGGCAAGAATTATAAGTTAACTATTCTATAGAAAGCTTATTAATATAATAGAAATAATAAGTTTTAAACTAGTAGTTTCTAGTTTCTAATATATTATATAATAGTTTTATAACTTTTAGAATAGAATTATTTTTCAGATTTAGCTCTCTAGCAAGTTTATAAAATAGATTAATATAGAAATTATAATTAAGTAAGGTTATTAATTAGATATAAGCTTATAAAATATTATATAAATATAATTCTATAGTATTTATTATTATAGTAGTAATACTAAAGATAATTCTCTAGCTAATATATTAAATAATAGGTAATTATATTAATACTATATATTTCTTACTATTATTATAGGCTTAAATAACTAGTTTTAACTTCTTAAGCTTTTTTTTTAATATTTTTATTTTTAATCTTATTAATAAACCGGGAATTAAAAATATATATTCTTTTTAGTACCTGAAATCTAGAAGTAATTTTAAATATACTCTTTTCTAGAAAGCTAGTAACTTTAACTTAATAGGAATTCTTATATAATTTATTATCCTATAAGAATACTATAATATCCGGAATCTTATAAAAGTATCCTCTATTATACTTTAGTAAAATAGTAGAAATAGTAGAAGGAATTATATCTATATTATTTTTAGTCTTATTATTAGATTTAGAAATAGATTCAGATTTGAAG